CCCCCCCACACACACAGACATATTAAGTTCAGCAGGAACATTGTAATAGGCTAATTTTTATAACGTTTATAGGAGGAGGTTGATGTCTGATGTAACAAAATTTGAACATGCATAGTGTTTGAATTTTGCGAACAATCTGTATCTGTTTCTGCCACTGCGTGAAGAAAATTGAGCTCAACTCTTTCTAATGGACCAAACTGTTTAGGTACCTTCCCACCTCTTCATCTAAGGTTGAAAACAGACGAAACTTCCTAAATATTGCAAGTTGTTCAGAACAATAAGTTGACCAAAACCAAGAAATCAAGTGATGATGAAGACAAAAGATATGGCAACACAAAATCCGGATAAAGTGGTCTTTCAAACAATTCATAAGACTTATGGTAAGATATTCTTGTTATTTAACAAAAACATACCAATCCAATAGCCATCTTCTTCTGGTACTCTACTGACAGCCCCAACTATTATACAGATGAGACCACTTATGAGCAGGAAACTAGCCATGGGTATTCGACGTCCAAATCGTGACAATATGATGTATGCCAAAACATAAGATAAGACTTCTACAACGGCACCCAACAAAAAATTCAAATGTCGTTCACCACTCAGATCAGGGAGATGAAACATGATGCCATAGTACAATAATGAGACACTAAACCTGCAACAAGGCAAGATCACAGATCAGTAACAAAGGTCTTTGGACAGGAACAGAGAAAAGAGAAAAATAACTAGCATATGATCCTTCAAAGTTAATAGGAATGAAACTATTATATTGAGTCACCCATCTATGCCTTTCTCTTCTTCCTTCCTTTCCCATCCCTTGTGTTTGTCTTATCATCAGTTCCCTTCCTCTTCCTCCATTCCTCTCCTTTATGTCACCCAATGATTACCACCATCTGTCAGAATTTAAGCATAACTGTGTCAGCCTATTAGATTATTTACATATTTTAATTTGACTTTCCCTTGCATCCCAGCAATGGCACTATAGCTGAGTGTGAGAGGAGTAGCCAATTACATACTGCATCTTTACAAAATAATACTCTGACAGATGTGAAATCTGGGGTAATTTATCTAACAGCAGAAAGATATTTGTATTACATAAGAAAACTGTTTGAATCATGGTGGATATCAAAACTAGAAATTTATATAGGGGTCTATTTAAGAGATCAGAGATCTCACCCCTTCTGCATGAATACATATTTCCATTAACAGACATCCCTGTAATCATTTTTTTTTATTGGTTGCATCCTGTTATGTGTCTCAGACAATATATAATATGTAGGAACTATGCTACCGTCAAGACAACAAATATTTCAGTATTACATTTAGATCTTTTATTTACTGCGACATGTTTCGATGATGCATGACCATCATCAGGCAGGAATATGTAGTTACTGAGATACTGATACAGATCCTTATCGGTGCAACGCGTCGTATTAAATATAAACATAAAAACTTTGCCTCACATTAGTGTATAGTTACAAATAAGAAATACATGATTAAAAATAAAAAATAAAAAAGAAAAGATAAAATAAAGGTTTACTATATATAAAATGTTGAAATATTATTAAAAAATATTAAAGGTATGTTAGAAGTATATAATAGGTATTAACAACTATATGTAGGGTTAGGGATCTATATGCCAAATATTTTTTTTTTATTTTAAGGGATATCCTGCTACAGTGTAGAATTGGGCCTGTATGTTGCATAGGTCTTGTTGGAGAAATTCTACGTAATAAGCTGGTATATGAGGCCCAAAGACAAGTTTTCAATGATGTACACATTGCAAGTTTTATAAACAGGATACATAGCATGGGAATACCATACCAAATACCCACAAAGCATTAAACTTGTAATATTCATTCTAACATCAATAAACATTTCTTATAATTATATGTGGTTGTCTCTTCAAACATCAACATCCCACAGGGCCAAGAGGTGAGCTTTGAGGTTCTCACAACTTGGTTATGAAGAGCTTTATCTTCTTGGATATAACACCACGTAGTATGTTGAATGCTACCTTCTTCATGCTGGTTTGTTGGCTTGCTTATTCTTCAACCCTGAAGATGTAGGCGATGTGTTCCCCGAAAATATTGGTTGACTTTCAGTGGAATATACGGCGTCATATCCCCAAAGATAATATTATATTTAAGCATCCTGTTGCACTCTACACGATAAATGATACAAACTCCGTCCCAAGTGCAAACAATATATATTATATGTCTTTGATCTTGTTCTCTTCTACACTACATGTTTCGGCCTCTAACGGCCATCATCAGGTGTATACTCTTATGTTGCTGCCACACTGAACCCAGTCTAAAATTTAACATTTAAAAAACACATTGTTATTTTCTTCGTTATTATCAACATCTACCTCGTTGATATCTGTCTGGTATGTAGATTATTTTGCACATGTCAATTTTGATTTTCCTGTAGTAGCACTATAAAATCTTTAGTTATAATTTTAAAATCCTATAAAATTTTCTCTAAATTTAAAATTTAAAATTTAAAATTGTTAGGGTTACTCGCCCTATGTCTAAAGTGCTGCAGCGGCTAGTTCTTGTTTCCACACTGTACAGGTGTTATTCTGTGTAGTCTTCCTGTGTGTGTGCCGCTGCTTGTCTTTACTACTTTAAATTTAAAATTTAGAGAAGATTTTATAGGATTTTAAAATTATAACTAAAGATTTTATAGTGCTACTATAGGAAAATCAAAATTGACGTGTGCAAAATAATCTACATACCAGACAGATATCAACGAGGTAGATGTTGATAATAACGAAGAAAATAACAATGTGTTTTTTAAATGTTAAATTTTAGACTGGGTTCAGTGTGGCAGCAACGTAAGAGTATACACCTGATGATGGCCGTTAGAGGCCGAAACATGTAGTGTAGAAGAGAACAAGATCAAAGACATATAATATATATTGTTTGCACTTGGGACGGAGTTTGTATCATTTACCCAAAGATAAATCTCTTACATTTTTTCTTATTTGTTATTAGTTTTCAGCATGTAAATGTATCCCATCCTAAGCCCTTCTATTCCATTTCTCCCACCCTCCCTCTCTTCTTGAAGCATTTCGTAAATTTTCTTTCCAAATATATGGTTACCCTGCTCTTAAGTGTCATGAACTGCAATGTTATATATTGATGTTTATGTTGATAATATTTTCAACATAAACATCAATGTATTTGACTCAGAGACATGCAGTTATCCATATGCTATTAAAACTGAAGTATGCACTTCTTTAAATGTAAATTTGACAGGCCTTTCCTAAAAAGTATTAGAAAATATACAAATTTAAGAAATTTGGATAATAGTGCTTTGCATGTAATACTGGTCAGTACATTTAGAGTACTGGAAAAAGTACATCACCAAAGCACACAGCATAAGCCTTCCAAAGTTGTGATGAAAGCAGACCACAAATGTTTCCCCTGCTATACATGCAACATTTCATGAAATAAATCTGCAGAATTATGGAGACTCCTTCTTAACCGTTCTTAACAGTGTTAAGAAGAAACCAGTATTCAACTAACCAGTCAGCTGTAAACATACTACTGTACTTCGTAAAATGTCAACTTACCACACAAATACCATTGTTAGATGGTATTTTCGAAGAACGGCATTTCTGAATAGCTCAATGAAACCAGTTCTTTTTGTTGCTGAATCCAGGATCTTGGGTACAGTCACAGTTCTGTGTTCTATGCTCTCACATATCTTAGCCATGTTATTCCAGATTGCTCCATCATCATGGCTCATATCTTTACCACTTGAATTCTCTATCAGTGCTCTATCACACACAGTGTCACTGGTAGTTCCACTGTCTTCTGTCACAGTACTATTTATTTTCACTATCTTATTTTTGCAGACCATCCCATATTCTTCCTCTAATGCTAGTTTTCTGTATGTGATCCCTACTGGATCAGAACCCACCTTTTTATCATCTGATGTAAATGTTTTTCCTATGCTTATCCCTTCATTTCTGCCATCCTGAGTTATAGTGTTATCAGTTATAACAGACATACTTTGCACACCTGTAGCTGATTCATTATTACTTTTAAGATCTTGTGCAGTTTTTGTCCATATATAATTCAGTCCATCACTTTCACTCCTACTCATACTTCTGTGAGAATTATATGGATTATATTCACTGCTGCTTTGTGGATCACCAATTTTCTTTCTAATCTCAGAATGACAAGAGCAACCAATAGTATCTACAGACATATCATTATTAGAATTTATTCTGTTTAATGAATATCCTTGCAGCATCCCCCTGCATTCTTTGCACAATAATTCCATTTTAAATTCTCCATCAAAATTACTTTTCATCATGCTATTGCTTTGACTATTGGTATGCACTAGAGTAACATCAGCCATTTCTTCACCATTGATCAGCTTTTCCTCTTTCTTTTTGTCCTCTCCATGTATTCCATCTATATTTTTCTTATATTCATACATCATAGTAGAATGCAATAAATAGCTGTCTTCTATCATGCTGCCATCAGAAGCCTCTGAATAATAAATAATCTGTGACTTGTTGGAATCACCATCATTGTGTTTACACAGATTACTGTAACTACTGTTTTCTACACTGCTTATGTGATTTGGCACTATTCCTGAATGTTCAGTGCCAACTGATAAGTCATCACACAACCCTGAACAATCTTTCAGTTTATCTTTCACTATCTCTTGCTTCATTATCCCCTTGCAAGCTCTCCCTTGATTAGCTGGCAATTTGATCCCAGTGTTTACATAATCAAAGAGAGCCCTGTCAACAGGAATGTTACTGGTTTCAACCTCTATTATATCATTATTTACAGTCAGCTGGTTTCTAGTGATTTTATTTTCATATGAATGGCCACTATCACATTCAGCACATTTTAATTCCTCAGTTATCATTTTGACAGAATCTTTGTCATTTGATACATCTGTTTCGTTACATGGTAAAAGTCTCTTCCTTGTTTTCTGTGCATCTGCTCTGCCATGGACAGCCAACCATCGTGCAGACTCAGGAACCAAGCTGCAAGGCATGAGAAAAAAGAGTATCTGTTTAATATTTTAGCTCATACTGATTGAGTGTAAAAGCAATTGAAATACACTTTGAAGAGAGCAAATGTAGAATACTTGCATGGAAAATTAGCCATGATTTTAACCATTTAGTAAGCCACATGCAGTAAAATAACCATTACTATTTCTTTGAGGGGCCATGAATTCAAATATTAAAGTGAGTAAATGAAGGAAATATCCTGTGAGTAAGAAGACTAGGACTATAGAAATCTGATATTAAATGAAGGGCAGGACTAAACTTGGGAATACTGGATGGAGCATTCTCACGATACAGAAAATAAATATGAACATAATGTGCATATACTATAATAAATATTAAGAGAAGAACATAAGCTGAGGGTGTTTAAAAGAGGGTATAGAGGAGAGTATTTAAATCTATATAAGGTAAAGTTGTCCCTGTGCTTAACTAATTAAGCACCGTGAAGACATAGAGGGGAGTGGATGTATAGATCTACATTTTCTTGACCTCAGCACTAGTTGGAAGTGAGTGGTCAACTTCATGCACTTGCCGTTTTAGTGCCGGGAAAGAATTCCCGGTACCCATTTGATAGGAGATTGGGTGGGCCCCAGAGCCGGTCTGGATGACATGGAAAAGAGAAAATTCTTGACCTTATTGGGACTCAAACGTCGAGCCCTCAGTCGTCCAACCTGTAGCCAGTTCCTATACCGACTGTGCTATCCCAGCTCCATTCAGATCTATATACAAAGAAGTAAAATGAGGATAACTGCTCTTTCAAAAATATTATTAGGGTAACCGAATCAAGGAGGATGAGATGGACAAAATATATAGAGTGCAAAAGAGAGATGACAAATATATACAAAATTTTAGACAGGAACCCTGAAAGGAAAAGACCACTTGGGAGTCCTAGGCATAGATATGAGGATAATATTAAAAATTATCTTGAAGGACTAAGGTATGAGAATATGAGCTGGATTCTTCTCACTTATGACATGGATCAAAGGTGAGCTGTTGTGAACATAGTAACAAACCTTCAAGTTCCATAAAAATTGGGGGATTTCTTGACTAAACTGAGTGTTTATTAACTTTGCAAGAGAGACTGTTAGTTAACCACGCTGTGTGATGCCTCAGTCTGGATGTTAAGATTTACTGCAGAAATTGTTTCTGGGTGTTGTTTAATGCTTCACATGTAGCCACAGTAAAATCTGTTATGATGCTATTTGTTACATTTCTTAAAGAAGACAAATATTTGGATGTAGGTTTTAGATGTTGGCGGATCAAGAATGGTGTCTGAGAAAGGAAAACTGTTCTAAAATTACGTTTCTTTAGGATAAATTTCATTGCCTTTGACAATACTACCACATGTTATGATAATTAACATATCTATTTCATAGTTTGGTGGGCCCAGATTTCACTTTAAGCTTAGAGACTGGCTATCATAATTAAGGTTTCTAACATTGCTCCATATGAGCTTTCAACACAAAGTACCTACCAAACATACAGCAAAGTTGCTGCTGTAGGTATGGAAAGTACCAATTCCAGTGGGCGCCAATTAGGTATGTAATATGATGCTCCAGCGAGGTAAACTAGTCCAAATGCCCAGTATAACTCCAGTACAACACCAACTGCCGTACGAAACCGCCGAGGAAATGTTTCTACCAAAAGAGTGAACGTTGTGCCCTGTAAACCCTATTGAAGAAGTTAGAGTTATTTTCGTGCAAACAAAAATTATTACAGAAAAGGTAATTACATAATAATATAAAATCAATTAATATTATCCACAATAACTTCATGGTGTTGCAAGTAAAACAGATTTCAGCTTCCTATATAGGAAGAAAATCATCAAACTTATAATAATTCATTACATGTAGAAGTGGGTTTAGTTCTTGCCTATTTTTTTTGTCTATCTTCCTAGTCTAAAGGTGAGATTAGAGCATCAATGTATACATTGAACAAAGACTGAATTAATCTGAGTGCTGTGGCACAGCTGCTCCTCAGTTTTGGTTTTTTATATTGTCAGGTGTATGAGTGTCTATAGGCAGGGTTTGGGCTGGTAATCAGAATTACTGAGCACTTACAAATCCTAACTATGAGTAACAATAGGGATATCACTAATTCACACACTCTGCAGTTCACTAGAGCATGTACTAAGTCTTCTCAGTCTGCTGTGTCTTCACCAGTACCTGGTGACGGATCTCAACAATGTCCTCCATTTCCATATCCACGTTCATATTGGCAACTGTCACACAACTAACACATTGCCAGATTCAGAGATAAAGTTACTTTATAACTGGAATTTTTCTGCCAGTCAGTTCATCTTGGTGCCAAGCTTTTGAGGTTCATGACCAGATATATATATATTGCAACCAAAGCCTTGCAGTCATAGTCCTTATGTAACATCCTCTCTCATGAGAGGATGGGTTTGTCTCTTATGAATAGGGTTCGCTTTGTCACATGTAAGTATCACATATATAGCATAGGTCAATATGGTTATGGGGAAAGCCTTTTCTTCGTGGGAAGCAGTCATTCAGATAAAAGTGATAATTTGGAACAAAAACTCCTCACGGGATTTGGGACATGTCTCTGAGGGTAAAGCCACATGCATATTTAAGTCTTGCAGCTGCTTACTGAACTCATAGTGCCACCTCCAAATAGCATTTTGCATTACATGTTATGACTTTGAGTGGCCTATGAACTCTTAACAGCCATTTTGTTTCATTAAGTTAAGTACTATTTTTGTAATGATCATTATTTTGTCTTCTTCTAACACAGCTTCACTGAGCTCTGTCATGATCTGTTACACTACAGTGAAAATTTTTAGCATGCCATTGGTGATCGAACTGGGAGCCTGTACTGACAGACCTGTTCTCTGAATTTCCTGTTGTAACAGTGTTGCTGCTGCATGGGGAGATGCAAACTGTTCTCACATGTCTGTGGTGCCTGTGGTTGCTGGTGTTGTGTGTCTTGACACAGTATGGCTGTGTAGGACTGCTCTGGTGAGAGAAACATCCTCCCAAATGATCCCTTGAGAGCTCGTATTTTATTTGAATTTCTTTCATGTGGTTGAAGCCTTGATATGTCGCTGGATGAGAGTTCTCTCCTTCCACTAAGGTGCAATTGCAGCAGCTTGGAATAGATTCTGTATTTGTCTTTTCTGGGCATTCCCTGTGCAGGTGGTCACCACCGCACCATGAACATTGGGAGGGTTTCTTGCACTTGACCCAGACATGGTCAAGGTTTCGACAGTTGTAGCACTGCGTAAGGCCAGCCTAAACTCTATATAACTCTACCTTGATGATAACATGGTTGAGGCTATTCAGCTTGAATTTAAATTTTATGTTTCTTGTTAAAGTAACAAGGAATAGAGGGCAAAACACCACAGGAGTTTTTCCATTGGGTGCTGCTCAAGTGGCCGTCATTTGCCTCAAGTTGATGATGTGGTAGCCTAAGTCCTCAAGGCTGTTGGAAATATCTTCCGCTGGCGTGTCTGAGGGAAGGTGACAGATTACTGCCTTGATAGATTTTTAGAATTTTGGAAGAAGTTAAAATGGTGGAGATTATTTTTCTCATGGTAGGATTTCATGGTTGAATAGTCTGCCATTTCTTTTGTTATTATACAGGTTCCATTTTGTTTATTTTGGAAGTCATAATCTCCTTTGATGTGATCCCTTAAGTCACTTTGGAGTTGAATGAGTTTTGTGGTAGAAATCATCACTATTAATGGTGGCCTACCTGGTTTTCTGGCAGCCTCCTGCTTCGGCAGTCTGTTCTCTGCTTCAGTAGTCTCTGTATCCATGTTCAGTAGTTCTGAGAGGTGTGACAAAGTTGCAAGTTAACAATGCATTTTGAGGCAGCTTGACAGCTGCAGATATTGGGACCGGTTTAGTCAATTTATTGGCTGTCTTCAAAGTATTATTAGAGACATGCCCCTTGTGTCTCTTTACTTCCTGGAAGCCGTCATCCTAGGCCGTTGATTCCACTGAGTTTTTGTTCATTGCCCACCATGTCCTGCCTGTACTTTCATCTTCAGGAAGGCCTTCAGTTCATTCAGGGTTACTACATACATGTGTAAATAGCGCTGAAAGGAGGCTTCCCATCTAGAACATTACAGAAGTGCTTTATTCTCATCTGTGCTATTCACAGTGAAGGTCCATTCAGAACTTTCCCCCATTTTAGTTGGTGTGCATCAGACAAGGTTCTCAGTGTCACTGAGTGCTTAATACACCTATAGCACTACAGATACTGCTTCTGGGTGTTTGTTCATGAGAGCATGACATTCAGTTTTCAGCAATGTTAATTTCTGTGGTCAGTATTTCTGGAATCCCAGTATTTGGACTTCCGCAACCTTGGCATACACTAAAGTTCACCAGGCTGCTCGTTTTTCTCACTAGCTGTCACTAACTGCAACGGCCCAACTTCTCTCATCCTAGCTCCAAAATCCTTCCACTCTCCTCTCACTCTGACTCCAATCCGCCTATATCACTGGCTGACTGACTGCCCCAACTGTCCTGCTTATAACATCATTGTTGCTGTATCCAATTGTTGCCATGCAAACATGCTTGTTTGTGAAGCTGTTACTGAGTAACAGCTGAAGTACTTTTTGTTATCTTTCTGTAGTTGCCCAGCAACAAGTCTATATGCCAAATTTTATAATAGAATTAGATATGTTCATCTCTTATTTCACTTCCAAATATTCATATTCATATATATTACAAGCCTGTGTGTATGTCCCTCAACAACCTGAATATGACACTGCAATGAACAGAAAACACATGGGCAGGATGTGATTACAGTCTCTTTCAAGGAATTCTCCTGCCATTCACCAACCTATTCAGCTAATACAATCAGTCTTTGACAATGGAAAACTCTCTGTGTTAAAGACAAAACTCATTTCTCCCTTATCACAAGAACCTTTAAAACTCTAGATTAATCTCATGTTTTAAAATTTCACATTAATGTATCAGATGATAAGGTTGTGGGATTGTCGATGTTCTAAAAGACAACCACGTAACAATCGTATATATTAAACTGTATAAACTGAATGTACAGAATAGCTGCAAAGCTATGTAGAATGTCAAAAGTTGGCTGGCCCTGAAAACAACAGTTCGTTCCACCGTGAGCGATTTTTTTAAAAAAAAGTATTGTAACTCATTCTCGTCACCCTTTACAATTTTCAAGCACTGTGTCAAGTACCCAGCCTAATGTAGAAACACATGTAAGTACTATCATTTTTACAGTATCAGCATATTCATACAATTGAATTTATTTTTCAAAGGATGGAAATTATATAAAAGATATGGATGACATACAATTACAGAATTATACAGAACATATAGAAGATAATTGGGCAGGGTGTATATGATGTGTACTGTCTGTTACCTTCACTGCAAGTCTGGATACCCTGATCTATCTGTGGCCATTTTTTTTTTGTTTTCTTAACAAGTTCAGAAATTACATAGCCAGCTGAGAGATGGTATGTTGAAATGAATGGTAAGTACAAAGGGTGTAAGAGACTAAGACTTTGGCCTATTTTTAGATACTATTCCAGTATTCTCTGAGAGAAAGTGAAGAAATTTGTTTAAAGACTGAACCAGAATAGCTAGTTTCTTACTGAGCTTCAAATTAGGAAATCCTAAATGTACATCAGACATGTTTTGACTAAGCTAACTCTTCCAGTCATGGACATCTGAGAATAGATATTTTCTTTAAATGTAAGACACCTTGAAAATAAATTCATTTCCTTTCACTGAATGAAGGACAGAATAATTAATTCAGTCTTAAATTTATCAACAATTATTGATCAAATGTATCAGCTACTAGTTAGTTAGTTATTGGAAAGGGTGGGTTTCCTCATGCACTTAGACCAGTACTGGTCCATTGTGCTTCCCTCTATGATATTCTACCAGTCTCTATACCCTACTGATACTGGTGCTTACCATCAGTCCCGACCAAGCCAGCGAGTTCGGCCTCTACTGGCTTAGCGGTATCTATAATGCTTCCCCCATCTATCAGAGGCGTTGGAGACTACTGTTGGGCGGGAAATGTCCTTGAATTTTGCTCAGTGACCTCCTTAGGAGATATGAGGTTCTTTTACGTGCCGTAAAGCTACGACACGGGACCCACGGCTTAAAGTCCCTCCCGGAGGACTTGTTCCCTGAATTTTTCCGCCCTTAAAAATTCCACGACCTCCGCCGGGTTTGAACCCGCGTACTACGAGTCATGAGGTGGGAACGTTACCTCTAGACTACGGAGGCTGCTTATCAGCTACTAACACTACTTAATATAAAATTTGTTGTTGATAATAAGCAAAACACGGCAGAACAAAAGCCAGGATAAGAGGGAACAAAAATAATCTACTCCACTACCATGTGCATTGATTAGGTACAAGTAAAAAGTACGTTGTGCACCAATGAATCATTGCATCAGTGTGTGTTGGTTACAGAATTATTTTTAAAAACCCTTTCTCTACAAGGCAAATTATAAACTAAGCCTTAAAAGAGTGAAAGGATGACTTAAAGGACTGATGACACATACAAAATTAAAAAATTTTCCTGTATATGTACAAAATACACATGCAGCCCCTACCTAATGTACTTAAATAATAGTAAATTATATTTTGTTTTGAAGGATATCATCATTAATGAATACATGATAACAGTATCACTTCAAAAACATGGGAGGAGTCAAGGCAGTGTCTGAATGAAAAATTCACAGGCTTGGAACTACTGATAGATCAGTCAGTGATCTGTATATCAATAAATAGATGGGGTAAAGGAACATTATATTTCATTGGCCACTGGGCTGAGATGGGTGTGTTTCAGATTGGTTAACTGCAATACTCTGATGGTACTGTAAAGTAATAAAGTAATAAAGTAAAAATAAAAGTAACGCCAATGCTATCCTTGTAACAGGCCGTTACAACACATAGGGTTGTGAGATGTTGAGGGTCCCACATTGTCTAGACAATCGGCTCAAAGATGGCGGTAAGGTTGTCAGCGTTACGCGCCGGCCGCGCTTTACTCCCCAGGAAAATTATTTAATTAATTCCTGGTACACATTTCTGTTAGAGGCTGAGTCGACCTCAGGACCATAGTGCGGCTGGAAGGATTAGGTCAACTGAAAAAAATCCAATGACCTCATCGCGACTTGAACCCATGACCTTCTGGCTTGTAGTATAGTGCCTCAACCAATAAAGAAATAAAGTAGTTTTAATTATGAGTGAAAAAAATGAACTCCACATTAAGGCAGCTAAACTGAGTATTGTTTTGTGATGGTTTATATGAAATGATCTTACAACTGTAAAAGACACTCACCTCCATTCTGATTACTTGCCTGTACAAAGAATCCTTGAATGAAACGAATAGTCATGAAACCTTCAAGAGTTTGCATAAAAAACAAACTGACACCCAGAAGCCCCTGAACATAAAGACAGACGAGAACAACTGGTCGCCTACCATAATGGTCAGCCAAGAGACCACATGTAATTGCCCCTATTGTTACTCCACAGAAGTATAAAGTGGCTAACAAGGGCCGTAGGAAACGACGTTCACATACCAACTGCCACTGAGGAAAAAGAAAATATATTACTATTTACTATTGTGTATCTGGAAGGTACTTGGTAGGATTTGTGAATAACCAATGGGAAAGTATGTGGATGGAACCAATCATGGCCTAATCTGAGGTATTAACCTGACATTTGCCTGTATGGACAAAGAATCATCATGGTAAATGCCGGTCAGGATAGCCAGCCACTGAGCTGATATCTGAACCTGGGACCTCCTGAATACAAAGCAGGAGTGCTACCTACTAAACTGTGGTGTTCATTCTGATAACTATGGCATTTATTTCCTTCAGTGAAAAAAATTTAAAACTGTAAACAAGATGTGTGATGATTATGCTCTTCAAGGAAGAGACACTGTGTAATGTGGTAAATGTTTACAGATATTCCAGGGGACTGCACCGCCCCCATCTTCAGGATAGTTTTAACACCACATAAACATCTACCAGGCTACACAGTATCATATCCCAGAAGACAGTCACAGCCATGAAAACCTCAAATATCACAAGGTTATGTGGCATTCTTTAAAATTTCCTATCTTGGTCATAAGTTGCATTTATTTGACAAGGAAGTGTTTCTAATGTATTTTAACATGTACAATGAACATGACAAAACTTGTATAAAATATTTTTACCCACCTGTGCCATTCACTGATTAGTGATTTAAATGTCTGTAACATTTGTATGTACTACATTCTTTAAAATTGAAGTCCATTCCACAGTGACAAAATGAAAGGTAGATGTTAAGCATTAAGAAGCATTGTAACTATTCTGAATATAAGAGTATGTCATGTGATGAGAATGAAGTCACATGACCCAGAATTAAGTTACTGCATGATGCATAGGTCACCTACTCCTTAAATTGTTAGTGTACATTAGTTTTATTCACCTCAGTAACAACTGTCCAGTCACCACGATTAGATTTAAACTGGTAACCCCGTGGACAGCTTGGTTCAGTTTGCATAACAGATGAATTGAGCACGTTCACACATCCTTCAGTTGCTGCACTCGCATTGTCATTCTGTGTGAATAATGGATAATTCAAGGCACAGTTCACAGTGATTACAAGATAAAAACTGAAATTGTGAACAGATCAATAATACAAAAGTAAAACATGTTAAGTACTATTTAATGGTTAATAAGTCATTAACTTCCTCATTGCCTTGTACTGGAAGACAGTAATGTATAAAGTATGTGATTAGCATTATAGCATTATATAGTGGTTCTTAACTACTCTTAAATTTTGCTGCATCAGATTCTTAAAAAAATAGAAAACATGAAGAAGGAGTTTCAAGTTTAAATACAGATGCCATTTATGTTAAATATGTCATTTATAAAACAAAGATTCAAACATCCACATATTCATAACTTTCCACTCATGAACAATATTGTATACATAATGTATAGGTGTTTCTTAATCTACCTCCATATGAAAGTTCACATGCCAAGCTCCAGTTGTTCATTAGTTGCCACAGTCTATCCGAATGCTGAACAAAATTATTGCAGGCTGCTTTGTTACAAGGTATTTTGCTATATACAAAAAACTTAAAACAACTTAAGTTTCATAATTCTAGAGAATCTGTTACCATACATAATTTTAGAACACTAGATTAAATATTGTCAGTGTCGCATCCACCTTGTTATTATTACTGGCTACTGGAAATTAACAGTGTAATGTTGGAGTCACTTCTAATAGCATAACATTCATACTAAATTTCCTCAAAATCGATAAACTTGTTCAAAAGTTGAAAGGGGGAACACAAGCACACATAATATAGTGATCTCATAAACCTCTTTCTTTCCTTGAGAAAGGAAAGTAGCCTTAAAACAGTAAGGATGTATATGATATCATATTAATGTAATAATGTTTTATTAAAGAGGATGAATACATTTTATGTATGTTCTGTCATAAATCGGGGTGTGGATTAAACAGACCGAACTCATATATAAATTCAAGAATCAACGTTGTTCAGCAATAACTTCTCAGAGTTACATGACAGTGTGCCATCTTCCTCTCTGGGGCAGTGTCCTTCTTCATAAGCGAAAGAAATTTTTAACCTTTTATGGGAATCAATGGCTCATTATCAGTACCATGTCCATATGAACTTGCTACTGAACCATATCATGAGCAAATTCAGTCTAGTCCATAGCTTCATACTGAATTTTCTTAAGATCCATCTTATTATTATCCTCCCATCTATGTCTAGTCCCCTAACACACTGACATCAGTTCTATGAAAAGCATCAGTAGAAAAAGTCACACCAAGCAGGATGGCACAATAATACATTTGACTCGAATTCAGAAAGTGTCAGGTTCAATTCCCATCAAGGGTCAACTGTCCTTAGTCATTATTTTTATTTACTTGCTTCAGCAAAATGCTATGGTAGTATCTTCATATGTAGGGTCCAGAAAAGACATCGGTAATGACTGTGGCAGCCAGGCAAATGTCCTGCACTGACACTGGTGTCCTTGATGGGGGTCATTGTGTTAAACAAGGTCAATGAGAATTTCCCACTCTTCTCTTTCAAAGTAATTGTACATAATTTTCCAATAACTTTGCTACAAAATCCACATAAGTACACAAATTACCTTACTTACTTACTCATGGAGCTGAGCCCTTCTTGAGGAGCCGCCAATTCCGCAGCTACTCAAGAATTTCCCAGCATTTTATGGAACCCGAAGGTTCATCACCGTGTTCACAAGAGCCAAATTACCTGGCAAAAGTAATTTGGTGTATAGCCTTGGAATGTAGGTAGAGTGTGGTTGATACCAACAATGGCATAATTACAGCCAAGCAGCAACAAGAGCATTATCTGCCACTGCCCAACACGCTCATTCACTGCCACCATCCCTGCTGTTGCAGACATCTGCAACAAAGTACAGAAATTATGAATATCCTGGGAAAAAAAAAAGAAGTAACTTCCCATGTGCCTAGGAAGCACATAATGGACGTGAAGCTCAAAATAAATGCATCCCAGAACTCGAAACTAGATGGAGGTGATTATGTTTACTTCATGCACCATCTTCTTTATCACTCTGAATAGGGACCAGACTCACCTGGACAAAGCAGTTAGAAGGAGAATCTAAATGTCCATACTGTTGATCATAAGTAATCCAATCTGCATCAAGAGTGTGCAACCCTTTCACACATTTAAACTTCTGAAAAAGCGCTGGCATCAGCCCCATTCCCTCATTTTGTAGTAAACATGTAAGCCAAGTGCAGTAACAACAGCTTCAATTACAAGTGCTGGATAGGAGACATGCCACACCCATGACCATCGCCGGGCCTGATAACTCCACTGACAACGTCAGGATGGGGGCGCCCTGACTTTAAGGAGTCGCTCTTAGAACTGACTCTAGGTGGATCGCACTACGACTTTTTGTATTCGACGCAAAAATGGCAGACGAGTACTGTGATATTACGACGCGGTGGTGGAATTGCGGCGCCATGCGCAACGACTAAACACAGAAATGTCGTTATGGCGTCCCGCGCCATGGCCACGATAATTTCTTTAGGCGATGGCCAGCGTAATACCGGTTCGGAGTGGAAAAGTCGTGACTGTGCGGCTGGAGAATTCCGTGGAGGCATCGAACAGTCTAATGGACCAAGTTCGAAGGGTACCCACTGAGGAGCGAACGGGATTAGGACGCTGGTTTAATCTGCAGGAGAAATATCTATGAGAATGGTTGAACATTTCCAGGAATGAAAGCATGCAAATATAGATGTTCCGTCTACAAGACCCTGCCCAGAGGCACATGCTCACTGTCAGAAAGTCGAGTGACCATAAAGTAGCCTGAAGGCACGGATTACTGACCCTGCCGTTACGAATGACAAGCAGCCCTGAGGAAAGTGCAGCTGAATGACGATGTGGGGCTATTCTACATGAAGTGAAGGCTGGAGAGCGTCCCGAATGGAACATCTTCGACCGCAGTTCATCTACAGTAGTTACTGGGCTCAGTGGAATTTTCTGATGACAAGAGACAGCGTGCTAGAGCGTCGCTGGGAGTCAGCCGACCGAGGGTCAAAGGGAGTCCAAAGCAGTCGTAACTCTTTCCCGGAGCAAGGTGAGGGAAATGCTTGAACAGCTCCAAGGAGGTTCTTCGGAAGAACGTTTGGGTAGTAAATAAAACCCCTAGACCAGTTCATAAAATAAATGATCATAAAATGTCACGTGACATCGAGATCATAAAAAAACCAAATATTGATTTAATACTGCCGCCACTTTGTTGTTTCATGTTTTACAAAACAGGACCTAATTAAGAGCTGCATCTTTTTCTGCCTCTATTACTATACATAATTTCAGGATCACAGTTCATTCCTCTTTTTTTCTCTCCCACCTCATAAATTTATCTGCCCGGCATCCTGTTATTATCTGATTAAGAAACTGGAAAGAATGGGGCTTGGGTGGCTTCTAACGGCAAAATTTCCTTACCAAATTTCATGAAAATAGGTCGAATTGTTGAAAAGTTTAAGTAGGGAGACAAACACATAAGTACAGTCAGCAAGGGTATCACATTGGTCTATTTTTGTTTAACGAAAAAAAAACTAGGCTAAGAAAAATATGCCTATGCACAAAAAATGTAAAACTTTCCAAATTTAGAAGTGCGTGATTTGAGGTAGATTACAAAATAGGATATATTCTCGTAATGCCACAAGCGTACAAAGGCTTACCTTCTTGTCAAGGTAACGCTCAGCACGACGTACAAAAGGATCCACTGTTCTCAAATCTGTCAATTGAACTGTTGTACAAACGATACCCGAACTACTAACATGAAAAGCAGGAATGATAAACCAAATGTGTCTGACAACAAGATTACTGGTATCAGAACTCGCTATATTCGTTATACGTGGCCCGGCGACTTAGAATTCTACAGTTTATGTAACTATGACAGCGACATCTGCTGCGTATTGAGCTTACCGTTCATTTAGATGTTGATAAACGCATCACGGTTCTTTTAATTAAGTTCAAAAAATAGGGCAGACAATGTCGATTTGAAAATCCAATGTTAACACCATCCGTTTGGATAGTGATAACGCTGACAGCATGCATTACGTAAGTTTGATAATTATTCAGAGACAGGTCGGATGTGCTTCAAATGTGACGGAGAGAAGTCAGGTCTTCGAATGTAGGTGGAGACACAGTAGTGGAGAAGTGCAAAGCTTTCTGTTGTATCCCAAACTTACGTTCTCAGACCACATCTATCCATCTACCTACCTACCTACCTATCTATCTGTACGTCTGTCCGTATATTTATGTTTCTATCTTTATATCTATACAACTACCTACCTACCTGTCTGTCTATTTATCTATGCCTTACAACCCTTTCTTAATCCTATATACAGGCGATAAGACTCCTTTGGCGGGGGATAAGCCCCTCACAAGGCCGCTACCTACACACAGAACAAGACAAACACAAACTAAACGCACACAGACATCCATGCTCTGAGTGGGATTCTACCCCACGATCCCAGCGTTCAAGCGAGCGAAGACAGTTCATGCCTCAGACGGCGCGGCCACTGTGACCGGTCTCAGACAACATACCGCCAATATTTTAGGTCCTACCTAATCAGTCTGAAACCTTTACAAGCCAGTATGAGTTCTTAGCGGTGGTGAAAAGTTACATTACTGTTTTCCACTGTGTGTGCCGCGGAACATCAATGTCCTGCGACAGTAACAGAGGTGTGCCTCACTACTTACTTATATCCAGTTTTTTACTTTACTAGTGATCCTATTATTGCCGTAATAAATAAATCCATCTTGAGTATTCCTTCTTAAATTTAATATTTTTATGTTCAAATACATTTAAAAATAGTCTTTCATTTTAAATTTTCTTTCCGGGAAGGACCTCCGGGCCCTCCCTTCAGTCTTATTGAGGGGTGCTCCATACCTCCCCCCTCTCCAGGAGCACACGCAGTGCCTACAATTTCAAAACTCTAACAAGGTGTCCCGCAAGTATAACAAGATTAGGAAAATCAGATTTCAGTTGTGGTCTTCTGAGTTATGTCACCGTGGAGTCTGCTGAAGTTTGTGACAGTATTCGTTATCTCCTAAGGACTGGTAACCACTTCCCAGACTACACGGTGTCTTATCCCGGAAGACTGGATTGTAAAAAGGTTGGCACCATTTGAAACTGAAGTTACAGGTATTAATACATTCTGCAGCTTATGTCATATACAATTTCAGTATAGATATTTAACACTGAACATTGAACTATAATAAATTGGCGACCACAAGCGTGGCATGTGTAAACGCTGTGAGGCGACGATAACACAGTTTCTGATGATGAGGACACAGATGGTCTATGAAATGAGAGTAATTCTTAACCAACTGACATGGCTCATAGCCCAAGAAGATTTTATTAATGAGTTGCTAATAAAGTAAATTCATGCTCAGGAAATTACGGAGTCGAATATATTAGTGAGGACAGTAAGGTAAATGTTAATTCGGTTGATAAGAATGGAATGGTTACTTACGTGGACAAGATGAGATGTAGGATTCGACTTGTCGCCGCTTAGAGCTCAGTTTTGGTTGTTGTTTTGCTCCTCAGCGGTGAAGGTGTCAGTTACTCGTTTCCGGTGTAGTTGACTGGTGGTGACCTGTTCTTTGTTTTAAAGATTGTGCAATATAAACCCATATCATACGTCGGCAGAAAAGTAAATGCACTTCAGTTCTTCTGTTTCCAGATTCCTCTCTATAGCATCTGTGTTCGTGATGCGTTCATTTCATAAGAAGTAGGAGCTCACTGTGTAAATTCTTCTGTGCTGCGTGCTTCATGCTGGTCTGCTGCTTGACGTACCCCACGATCCTGAAGATGGAGACGATATTTTCCTCCGATATGTCGGCTGACTTTCACCGGACTACATGAAGTTATATCCTGGAAGACAGAACCTTTTTCCATTTAAACCTTTTAAGAATGTGTTTACAGATCACCCGAGAGTTTGGGTCTCTATAATGAAACGTAAATGGTACCATATTTAAAAGCAAATGCAATTTTTATATTAAAATTCAGCATATAAAAGAAACTCCGTGGCTTTAGTCCGCAAGCGAACTATACCGACCGAGCGACTACCGCTTGTCGGCGAAGTTAATGCCAACTTCAGCGGATATAGGGTGTCGCGTGGTCAGCGCAACGAATCCCCACGGCCGTTAATTTCGGTTTTCTAGACCGGAGCCGCTACTTTTCCAATCAAGTAGCTCCTCAATTATCCTCACGAGGCTGAGTGGACCCCGCTCCAGGTCCACTACTTCTCAGAAAATCTGGTAGCATATTTCCGCCTTTTCTCAATTGTTAGATTTCCAAAAAATCCGGGCGTGGGGGTGAAAGGAAAATGGTTTGACCCCTACCTTCAGGGGTCCATGAGGGCTACTCACTCGACGGCGATGATTACTAAAGTTTCGTTCGATTCTATAGACGCTAGAGATATATCGAACGTCGTCATTAAGTCAAGCTGTCGTCACTGAGAAACACGATGAATGTACAATCAGATGCATATACTGTCCGCAGCTGTGGGGAATCGTTTCTGCTGAAACGGCATTGTACGCTACTGGCTGGAGCAAAAACATTACCTATTCTTTTGCACGTGTCAGCTACCACATATCACACACAGTACAAACGGAACTGCAACGAGAAATGACACATGATTAACGTCTATGTGCAATGCATGTCTTCCATCATTGCAATTATAAATCAAGGGCAACATATGACTGTCAGCCAATGTCGTTTAGGGGTGCACAGCACCGATGTTACTATAAGGCCCCCCATACACACACAGTTTGTCCTCCCGTTCGGCCTGCACAGTTCAAGGCTGAAAGGCAAAACTGATGTGTGTGGTGCGGCCGGCCGGCCAATCGTTTGGACTGTAGGAAACCCGTCAATCCGTCAGTTCTACCTGTAGGTCGTTAGGCAGGCCAAACTGTGTGTGTATGGGGGGCCTAAGGGCCAATGCTACTTCGAGGCTGAAACTTTTGAGCGCTGCTATGATGGATCTTTAAAACGTGACCGGACTGTAGAAATCATCATAGTTTTAACCTTTTCGAAATTCTTGTGTGCGCGCGTGGGTGTGTGGAGAACATTTATATTCATAGTAAAATATCTGTAACTAGCCTGAATGGATCGAACCGATGCAGGTCTGCGCATGCTCGCAGAGTTCTCCCCACAGATCGAGACCGATTCGGTACAAAACTGTCCGAAAAACTGCGTGTACGGTCGCCTGTTAGGTGTTGCTCCTACAGACATCTCTTTGCTATGGGCTGGAAGCAAACCCACTAGCACAGA